CTTTGAGTTTTGTGGTTCCTTTAGGTTAGGGTTTAGGGTGCAGTGGTTTAGAGGTTCGGGTTTAGGGTTTAGGGTTTAGGGTTTAGGGTATGTGTCACAATGGTAGTTATAAGTGGGGTTCCTTTAAGGGTTCCTTTAAAGGGTTCTACAGGGTTTAGGGTTCAGGGGTAGTTATTAGTGGGGTTAGTAGGGTAACTATAGTTATAACCCATATTAGGGGACTTATAACCCCTCTTATAACTACCCATGAACCTGCAAGTAGTTGAAACAGGGTTTCGGGGCAAGGACGGGCTACTAATGCCATGTACTCAGACGCTTTATTCGGAGCTAAGGTTTTAGGCCAAGTGGTTGGCAGTGGTTTGCGTGCGGGCATTAGGCTTCCAGTTTAAGGTTTTGGGACTTACTTGGAGGTTCATGGGTAGTTATAAGCGGTGTTATAAGTCCCCTAATATGGGTTATAACTACAGTTACCCTACTTATAACCCCACTAATATCTACCCCTATACCCTAAACCCTATAGAACCCTTTAAAGGAACCCTTAAAGGAACCCCAAATAACCCCACTTATAACTGCCCATGAACCTCCAAGTAGGTGCTTCAGGCGATCTGTGCGGCTCTGGAGACGGTCCAGCCCCGAAGGCGCGGGAAGGCTCCGAGAACCAAGGAATTCAGAGTCCCAAAATCGGAATCCAAGCATCCCTGCGCCAGCCCCCAAGAAACCCCCAACCCCTAAAAGAAGGGGCCTTGATAATTAGAATAGGGTTAGGGGTATATTATACTGTAATTATAACAAGGAACCCCCGAACCCCGAAACCCTATTCTAATTATTTCGGCCCCTACATTACACGCTCTTGGAAACTCAACCTAAGAGCTTCACGACATCAAATGCCAAACCTAAAGCCACAAAGCCGTTGAACATGCACCCTAAATGCCGTAGGCCCTAACCCTAAACCCTAAACCCTAAACCTTAAACCCCTAAACCCCAAACCCTAAATCCTAAATCCTAAATGCCCTAGGCCCTAAACCTTGAACACCAGGATCCCGAGCACGAGCACGTGCTGGCCAGAAAGAGCGCGCAACAACTGATTACGATCCTGCTGTGAGTAGTATTTAGGGTTTAGGGTTTAGGGTTTATGATTTAGGGTTCAGGGTTGAGGGAATAGGGTTTAGGGTATACCATTACTTGTACTTGGTTTAATGTCTCTGTTACTTGCACAAATACGGCTTAACATCAGCATTACCTTCAGTATGAGTCTTCGTGCTAGTTGCCGAATGTCCTCTTTGGTGGTCTGGGCCCGAAGCCCTGAAACCCCAGCTCCTACTGAAACCCTTCCATAACTTCCCTAACCCAAAGGGTCCATGTACCCAAATAGTAGAAACTTTGGCCCAAAGTACCCAAATAGGGACTACTTTAAGGCCAAAGTATCTCCTATTTGGGCACATGGACCCTCAGGGTCTCACTGATGGTCGAAGTGGTCTGAACCCGCCAGCCACAGCTCGAACTCTAGAGCTCTGAAGTGACAGAGGACCAGAAACGTCGTCACGGCCGTACAGACGGCTCATCGCCTGCCCCGGCATCGGCCTGTGGTGGCCCTGTTCCCTGCGGAGAGACTCGTCCAGAAGCAAGTGCTTGGCGATGGACAACAAGGTCACTTTGGCGCTGTGCACGCCAATGAAAGACAAGTCCGGTCGCTCAGAAGGGTCGACGGCCGCATAGCAGCGCTGCAGAAGTTCGCGAATCAGCAAAACCCCAGCACCCCGGCTCAGAGGTGCCATGAAGACGGGAGCACGATCATCCGTACCCAGATGTGCGACCAGGTAGTCAGGCTTGAACCCAGGCCGTTGCACCGCCGTCCTCTCGACAGCCTCCAGGACCAAGCACAGCCAAATCTGCCCCATCCGGAGCCGCTTTTTGGCCGAGCAAGGAACCTCCCCACCTGTCCTGACCCCCAAAGGCAACGAAAAAGGGCCCTGAACTCCTGACCCTGAGCCCACCAAAACAGACAGAAGCCCTAAACTTGATTGGAATAGGGTTTTGGGGCCCATTAAACCATAATCACAATAAGGAACCCCCCAAAATAGTATAGGTAATTCTTAAGGCCCCTAAACCCTAAACCCAAGTCTCCGCCGCCTGACCAGTTGCTAACAAAGATGAAGAGGAAGATGGTCGTCACAAAGGGAACCCACGGCCTGTTTCAACGAGGTTCCCAGGGAGTCTAAGACGCCCTTCTTTAGGGTTTAGGGTTCAGGGGTTTAGGGGTTTAGGGGTTATAGAATAACCTTCATAAAGGCAGTGACGCTGAAGAGAGTAACACAAGTCTACTCAAGAGGTTGAACTATGTAACGCCTCCTACTTCAACTCAGGGCTTATTCCCGAATGCGTAGCAGAAGGGTTCTCGTTTGAAGGTTGGGGGTCTGGGGGTTACCAGCCCCCAGCCCCTCTGCAAGCCGAAAATCGTCGCGAAACGCAGAACTGTCGTCACTTTTTGGACCT